AAGTGGGAGAACTTGCACAATTGGTGACTGACTAAATACTTATTTTCCCCACTGTATAGCACCTGAGAAAATCTTTTAAAATATAGTGTATCAATTAAAACATAAGGACAAGACATAAAATTGCAGGTTATGACCAAATCAATACAGATGAACAATGCGGAAATCAAATATTACCCTGATTATCAGTTTTTATGATACTTTTAATATTTGAGCACAAAATCAAAGAGGTGCTGCAAAAAAGACACTCAGAGACGTGTGTGTTTTACTCCATCAAGCTGATTCTAGCATGTCGCTTCATTCAATTAATTCTTAATTAGCATAACGTCTTAATAAACTCACCTTTAGAGCTCTTTGGTGAATAGCATTAAAAGATCTAAGTCAATAATCTGCTGCCAGAAAAAAGGAGAAAATATTCAGAAATAGTTTAAAGGTTTAAAAAAGTCACTCTCAAACAAATAAAACATCAATTTCTCCTGGCATACCTCTATTCAGGAATTATAATCCCAGCTTCTTCTCTTTTAAACCCAAAGCAGGGGGAAATTATTCTCCAAACACACCTCTGTCCCGTCTGCTCAGTTTCACCATCAGTAATGAGCTTGGCCTTTTACTCCCAGATTAAAGGCATCGTGAAGAAGGCTGCATGTCAGATTAACCACCTGTGAGCCAAGAGTAAATCAGCTTGATTGTTTTTTTTTAATTCTTTAATTACTCCTTGCTTTATTTTTGCTTTCTAACCTGCTTCAGCAGTACAGAGCTGAGCAAGGTACAGTATTTATTTTGCGTGAGTAATGACTGAAACATTATAAAGCACACTAACATCTTAGTTCATTTGTTTTATTTGTTTTGAATTCATGTACATGTAATGACCTAAACATGCATGTCGGTCAGGACCGTGCATGTGTATATAAATATTGTAGGGCCAACAGTTAGACATCCAGCCACTGCAGCAACTCTTCTACTTCATGGTCCCCAGTGGAGGAGAARTTCACTTCCTGAACGGAGGGATTGGGGACGGGATCTTAATGTCCTGCCCCTTCTCCAACCTCTTCTCACATTCAATGAGGTAGTTCACACCGTCGATCACTAACTGGACCAGCTCCACCTGGGAAAGAATCATCAATCCACACAAAAATTCAACTTTAGGCTCATGATTGTAAACAATTTATTGTGCACAACAGATTCCTAAAGGGGGGGGGTATTATGCAAAATCGACCTTTTTGAGCCTTATGTCATATTATAACGTCATATTCACATTTAACACATATCCAGAGTGTTGCTTTGATTCATTCATGCCCGTCTGACAAGTCCTTTAAACTACTGTGGCAGTCATGTGGAGCTGGCTAAACACTTTCTGGTACAAAGCTCCGCCTATTTGAACACAGCTCCTCCCTGGAGCTAAGTCTGCAGCTGAGCTCCTGCCACACAGAGTACCCCTATACCCAAAAACATTGTTGTAAAGATGTGCTGAAGTGGGAGTGTCAGAAACAGTAGGAGGGTTTTAAAGAGACAGAGGCCAGTTTCAAGGCATTTTGATAAGCTATGATGCAAAATCAAATTTACTTTTGATATAATCATTTTCATTACAACCGAAGGTACATACTGTAGTAACTTGGTTGGGGTATAGAATTGAACTATGTGTCTGGAAAAAATATATTATCGCCGTCCCCCCACTCTCACCCCCACCCCTTTAAAGTGTTGTGTTCTAKAGAGGATCATGGGGTTTATTTTATTTACTGTATGCTAATTTTCTTTCTATCCGGCTATATTCTGCAGTAAAAAACACAAACACAAGACACAATTTATTCCTAAAACTGTATTTAAGCAAAGATCCTTTGTGTGTTTAACTACTAAATAAGACAAAATGTTTAAATGATGTTTCCTGAGACTAAAGTATTTAGGTTTGATTGGTTAACATTTATTGTAAATCCRTTTTACATACTATATAAAAATACACTCTAAAAATGAAATGTTGGATTTACTTAACCATGTTATGTTACCTGGTTCCACTTAACTGAGTTGAGTAAATTCAAAGCAACACACTCATGTTCTTTGGTTAAAAAACTAGTATATTGCTTTGAATTTACTCAACTCAGTTAAGTGGAACCAGGTAACATAACGTGGTTAAGTAAATCCAACATTTCATTTTTTACAGTGAGAATCTTCCTAACAGGAGTTTTTGCCTTACATCAGCCTTTCAGACATATGACAGATATCCTACGCTGGCCTGTCTGAGGTTGATCAGGACAGACTGGGCTCAACAATCTTTTAACCTGTGGCACTTTTCTGCCAGGATTACAGATTAACAATCAGCAGGGGTTGACAGATATTCACAGCACACCTAACATGGTGCAAACATGTATCTGTTCTTTCTTTCCCTGCCGTTCAATCTGGATGGGAATTGTTGTTTTTAAATCTCACAAATGTACCTCTGATTTGCCCAGACGATCGAGATTAGAGATGTCAACGGTGTCTCCTGTAGTGGCGGTATCAACTCCACCCGTGCCTCTCTTCTGTAGCCTCAGGTTCTCCAGGATCTTTTTGAAGCGGGGGTCCTATTTCACAAAAAACAACATATCTCAAGTCCGGTCAAACTTTCTGTTGTGCATTTTACCAGCCTCAACTGTACAAAATGGACCTACCTTGTTGAGGAAGGGTAGGCGGATGTGCACACCGGCTCTGAGCCCCGTGCCGAGGTTCGAGGGGCAGGTGAGGATATAACCCAGCCGCTCGTTCCACATGAACTCCCATCCTCTCTCCTGAATTAGATGCTCCACCTGCAGGTTACAGTAAATGCTTATTTTCACTCATTAGACCCCACATATATGGAAGGGAAAACTTTTTGAAACAGAGGAGGAGGTTGTTGTGTCARTAGGTGGGGAGGCTTACAGACCTGTTTGAGACCTCTGCAGAACCGTTCAAACACTCTCTTCATGTTTCCTCCTTTCTCCATGGAAATGATTCTGGTGTGGTCCTCCTCGTTGACCCAGATCAGGAAGTTCCTGTCGTTGTTGTGCCTGAAAGCAAAATTAAACTTCCTAGTTGATAAAACTAAAATTGGGATCGAAAGCTTTTAGATTTAGGTTGCAAATCAAAYATTGTTGGAATAAATAGGATTGATCTGTATCACATGTAGATGGATCATTTGAATCGGACCTGTTTGTTTTTCTGTAGTGTCCTGAGATGCTTTTAGAACCTCATGAATGGCATTTGTAAAACATTATTTTGATATTAAATTGCTTTTTTTTCTTTTCATGTTTATCTCTAAACCTGAACTGTAGTTTTCTTYTGCACAAACTAAACAAAAGCTTAAAAAAATGACAAAACTTTGAGAATTTACTTTACTGGGAGTGATGCACTGCCTATACAGACTTTACATGCTCTCCAAGCTATAAACATATGTATAAATGTACGTATAAAGTACCACAAAATGATACTTGAGTAAAAGTACAAAAATTACTTTGGTAACAGTTGAAGTCTCCTTTAGGAATTTTACTTGAGTAAAAATTTTAAAGTGTCTGATAACTTTTGTACTTAAGTATTAAAAGTAAAAGTATTTATTTAAAATGAGCAGTTAAATTTTCTGTAATGATATGTATTAGGTAGTGACCTCCCCAAAAAATGCAGAAATGACTGTTGTATTAAAATAATTAATTTATGTTAAATTTAGGATGCACTAGTCGAGYTGTTTCAGTTTATATACATTTATCAAGGCTGCACAAACCTTTTCCCCAAAATACAAATCTATCTGAGGTCTGTGGCCAAATGCAATAATATAATTCATGAAAAACAAATACTTCTTAAGTACAGTACTTTTATTTTAATGATTACGTCCTGCTGGAGTGTGACATGATTTGTTTGTGTACAAACTAATACGGTATCAGAATTTTACACATTTATGCTTCTCATTCAGCCACAATTAAATTCACTCTATCCAGGAGGCACAATTTATACAGTATATTATTAATTTTTTACAATAACAATCTGGAATAAAAACAAGCAAAATGAAATAAAAGTAATGACTTTCTGCTTTGTGCCTTTTTTAAAAATGTAAGGAGTAGAAAGTACAGATAATTGTGTGAAAATGTAGAAGTAAAAAGTAGGCTGAAAAATAATTACTCAAGTAAAGTACAGATACCCAAAAATTCTACTTAAGTACAGTAAAGAAGTATTTGTACTTAGTTACTTTACAACTCTGCCTCTAAGTTCATCATCTTCTTACCAGATTCCACGAGCATCAGGCCAATCTCTGGCCATCCCAGCTGCTGTGAGCAGAGGTGACACCGGTTTATCAAACAAGAAGTGCTCCTGTTAAAAAAAAACACAGAAACAGAGGGAAACATCAGACAGGAGATGTAATCAAACAAAACTGTARAAGTGTGTTTGTGTGCGCTGACATCAATGAGATGCTGCTGTTCCCTCTCAGTCATCTCTCCCAGGCTGTAGTATTGACCAGCCAGGTCTCCCTTCAGGCCAGAGAGGGCCGTCACAACCACGTTCTCCACCTCGCGGCGTTCAGACCGCGTGCACGCRGGAGGCAGACTCAGCCCACGGATGCTGCGGCCGGTACGCACACGAGATGACAAGACGTAGCGCTCGTCAAGAAATCCTGAGGAGATCTGGGAAGGAGAAAGCGTCAGATTCTGCCGGGTGTGGAAACGTGYGCAGGAGGTCAACGTTTAGCTGCCACCTTGGAAGCATCCAGGTCAGTGGGATGCTTCATCATGCGAGGATCATATCCGTTGTGTCGTTCCTTGATAACGGGGTCAAAGAGCTCAGCAAACACCTGGAAAATAAAAACAATATTGTGCATTTTCAAAGCTGAAGGCAAAAGAAATAAAGAAAAGGTATGAACTCCAACCTCGTAGCTCTCCTCGTCACCAGCCACCATGCCAACAGTCTTAATGAAGGGGTGTCCGGGGTTGTCCACTCCGGTTTGGATGCACTGATCCAGGGTCCAGTTGTTGGGTGTTGCTCTGTCTCTCAGACGTGAGTAAATGTTTGGGGTCATGGCCGAAGCCATGCAGTTGTTGTGCTTCCTCAGGTCAGGGTAGTCAGCACTGGAGACAATCAACAGGAAACAAAATTGTCTTTGCATTTCAGATCATTTTTTAAAATGTGATGTTTGTAACAGATACACCTGCAGTCTGCACGATGAGATTATTCTGGAAACAGACTGATCTGCTGGTCAGATGATCTGTGATTGGACACTAAAAGAGGCGTTGCCTTCTTAGAATAAAACATATTGGATGGGACTTCTAAAAGTGATGTCAGAAATGTTAAATATTTCATGTAAATAAAAAGATTGTTTTCAACATAATCTACTCAGCTATTCTTCTATTAGGAGTAAATAATGGTCATTTATGCTTCAATAAGCAACTAACAAAACTAAAATCTTAATTTGTCAAATCGATTCTTTTTCTTTCTTCTCACAAAATCAAACACAAAATTTATATCTGAGTTGCTACCAGCTCCGGACAGTGTGTGATCCTTTGACCTACTGAGGTGGTCAGCTGAGCTGAAGCAAGACAAGCTGGAAGAAAATAAGAACAGTCAGCAGACAGGTGGTGAGGTGGAGTCAGGTACTGAATGAGATTTAGGGGAAAAGATACCATACATGAAGGATGAACTCGTAACCATATAAAACATTAACAAAGAAGGCAAAATAAAATAGGGGAAAATCTCTAAAACCCTAAACATAAAACCAAAAGATCTTAAATTAAGGCTTGCAGACAAGAGAAGGTCAGAATCAGGTGTATCAAAAGTCATGTAAAGGTCAGAGGACGGACATAAAGAGGGAAAGGAGGACCCTTTAAAGAGATTGTAAAAAGGGGGATTAGTTGGTATTTCCATCACAGGCGTAAAGATTACACAAGGAGAGAAAAGGGAGGAGTTAGACACTTGTGCCCTTTGACCATAAAAACATACTAGAATGAAAGAACTTGGAGAATTTTTTTTTAGCTAACAGGTGGTTGGTACCTGTAAACAACATGTCCCTCAAAAAGCTTTTAAAGTACATCTAAAGAGCTAGAATCTCAGACAGCTGTTACAAGCTGTAAAAAAAAACTTTATTCCTAATATACGATTCAAAACTTGAACTTCTCCAAAGGAAGTTTGTAAAACACAGGAGACACGGATGAGAAATTCAAGTGAAGACTTTATCACTCACCTCAGGACAGACACAGACGGTGAGTTTCCTGCAGCTGAGTCCACAGAGGCTTGATCTGCAAAGTGACCACAGACTGAGGAGCAGGGAGGGGATCAGGTAGAGACTGGATCAGGATTAGCCTCCTCCAGGCCAACAGACTGAAAATCCTCTTTTCCTCATCAGTCATAACGTCTGCGTTCGTTCTCCTTCTTCTCTTTACTGTTAAACCTGAAAACTTTTTCTGACTTTACAATTCTAATTCTGAAAAATAAAATTGTGTGGCAGTATGGAAAATGCAAACTGCACCATGTATCTGAATGAGAGGGGGGTGGGGGGGGTGGAACTGAAAACAACTATGATCTTTTCATTTTTTAAAATCCTATCGGTGATATTTTAAGCTGCCTTTAAACACTTGCCAAGCATTTCCTCTGTTTCCATCTGGCTCGGTCTTCTCTCCTCGTAAACCTGTTTCCAGCAACAAACGTAAATCTCAGTTCTTCAAACTGCAGCCAGATTCAGGCAAGAACTTAGGATCTTTTTTTTTTTTGGCTCAATGTGTAAAGAGTAATTCAGTTAAGAGGATTATTCAATGCATCATTTCTGCTTCATATTAATAGATTTTTTAATGTTTATTTTCCAGGAGCTTCTTCAGCGACAGTAGTTTGATCTAATAACTCCTCTGCTGTTTTATTTTATTATATTTTAGAAATTCCATCTTCCCCTTTTTTCCAGCATTGGGTCTGAAACATCTGGGATAAAAGAACRTTATTTACATTGTCTTACAGGGCAAAATTGTTCATCAAAGTAGGTTATGACAGTTTAGGTATTCCTGTATGCAGATGACACGATTTCCTCTTTCTGCACAGAAAATTTTTCAGTGATCTTTGATATTTTTCTCCTACAGACTTAAAGGAACACATTAGTTCATTCACTGACTCTAAGTTGCTCAAAATATGAACGTTTGTGACAATGTTGTTCCTTTGTCAGATAGAATTGAGACTCTGCTTCTTCCTGAAGGTGAATAAGGTTCAGCTCAGCACAAAACCTGAACAGTAATAAGCAAATATGTGTGTAATTCACATTAAATCACGAGTTCACATTGCCTGATGGAACAAGTTCATTCAGCACCACATGGTGGCAGAATAACCATAATGTGAGTTAAGAGGCCAGACCAGTTGAAGGCCTTCAGCTGATGCTGAGTCTGAAAGGTTTTATTGAAGGTTTGTGATTCAGTGATCTATGAACCGTTATTACAATCCAAACAGTTCTTGAAGTTGTTGTTTTTTTTATCTGTAGTAATTTGTAGTCAATAGAATTTTGATTAAAGTTTATGGTACTTCAGTGTGTAAAATGAAATGTAAAAATTTTTCACTAACATATGTTTCATTTTTGAGCTCACTTTTGGAGTGTTAACATTTTACACTAGCAGCGGCCATTGTTGATGTTTGTCGCAGGATGATGACATCATCATCTGAGCATCGACTTCAAAAGCTGCGTTCCATTCCAAACGACCTACATGTGAACTTTAACATTTAACTTAACATTTACATTTAGATTTAAACATTTAGGTTTAGGATTTAACAATTAAATATATTTTTTAGCATTTAAATTTAAAAAAAATTAGCTAAATGTAAGAACAGTGAGCTAAATAATGAAAAATGTTAGTGACATTTGGCGCCGCATACGTCTGTGCATGGATTGACTATTGAGGAGCTCTAAACAGCAAACTAACAACTTCCTGGACACTTTAAAGTGCACGTATCTCTCCTTTTAAGACAATATGTGGTGAAACTCTCTGACTTAACATATTAGAAAATTATCAAAATGATTTGTTGGGATAGAAGTTAGATACAAAAAATAGTTTGCACACAATTTGTCTACTGTTGTGTTGAAATTATCTGCTCAGTCCATGTTCTCACGTAGTGGTACATCAATGGTTTCAAAAGGTTTTAGAGAATTTTTGAACTTTAGAAAATAGATTTATAACCAATAATGTTATGGCTCAAATATTTCAAATGGAAACAAAACATAAGGCATGTTGCATTTATTTCCCCTGCACCCACACTGAAACTCTTGTAAACAGATAAAGTAACACAAAACAAGTACACATAAATAATATTACAGTACAAACATGTTGGTAAAACAGACACTCAGAGTCACGGACACAGTGCAGAAAGGACAGTCAACCATGATAAGATTCTTTTTCATCTTTTTAGGATGAGGAAAGCTCCAACACATCACTGTGGTAAAACAGGCTGTTTCRCAGATGATATAACCTTGAAACTCTGTGTTGACGTAAAGTACACCAGGAAACAAACGTACCAGATTTCATGGACAAAATGTTGTTTTTATACTCTTTTTTTTTCTGAGCAGCTACAGAGACAATCATAATATATTGAAGCAGAGGATGAAGGTCCAGTCAGACATGCACAACATGCAGCTGTTGTGTGCATGCAACATTATTTATTATGTCCTCAACAGAAAAAAACAAGATCATTCAAATGCTACATTTTTTCCCAACCTTTAAAGTTTTCTGAAGATCTTCAAATTAAACACTATTTTTTGTACAAGAGCATGGTGTGCAAATTTTGAAATGCAAAAGGGACAGGAATAAATAAATCAAAACAATAAAAATAATAATCACAACATAATTTCTTTATCAATCATATACGTATGTGTGGAGTCACTATATACATAAATAACATAAATACAGAGTCTAATGTCATAAATAAACAGGAGGTGAAACAACGATTGTCTGTCAAGCGTAGCTACATCTCAGAGAGTCCAGGAACTGTCCCGGTCTAAACTGGTAACCCAAACTAATCCGGTCCCAGATCCTCCGAGGACTCTGGTGACACACATATAAAAGTCCAGCAGGCGGTTTGCAAAAGCCAAAACAATCAAACTGCACAGAAATGCTGCAAAAGCTTAAAGTTAGCAGGAGGGGGTAATTACCATGTTTAAACAGTAGAGGGCAATGTTTGCTCACGTTTTGTGCATTCACTGTGTTTACATCAGCATGCTACAGTACCATTCAGTATACACATCCTACTAAAAAAAACAAACAGAATAATTACATTATGTTTTAAATTTATTTTTGTGTAATCTAGCAACTAAAGCTCTACTTAAATAGACAACTGTGGGGAAACTGACCTACACCTGTAGAAGGCACTGGAATCGTTTTAATTTTATATCATTCATGTTGACGGTTAATAAAAAAAATAACTATATGTGAAACAGGTCTGTTACTTAAAGTGTATTAAAGACAAATAGAGAATGTGTTATTTTAATAGGGGAAATTTCTGAAAATCTTTATCAATAAATAATTTCCGAGTTGAACTTTTGTGAACGTCAGTCGTTTCGTCACACCCAGCCCGTTCAGATGCATAGTGTCTAAAAGACTCGCCCTCGGTTAGGGTGATGTTTGACGAGTCGAGCGTCGGGGGTAAAAACAGTTACATCCTAAGCTGAAATCATGCAAGTTTTATGCAGTAAAATAAAGCATTTTGGGGACCTTCCTCCATCACACGGCATGGAAATGCACAAGCAAGAGAACACAGACAGAGACACAAGCTCAGACATCTGTCACTTCCTGTATATGCTACATCTCTGATATCTCCACTGTTACAGCCACCGACTCCAAGCTCTCATCCTCCCCTGCTCTCTCTCGCTCTTTCTCTCTCTCTCTGAGGAAGAGTGTAACGTGCACCATACTCTTTACCGAGGAATGATGAGCACAAACAGCGACATGTAACCTTCCGGCTCGGCATCCAACAAAATCTCGTAAAATTCTCTTCCTCTTCTTCTCAGTGACCTGCAGAAGAATCGCCTTCTGGTTTTCACGTCGCTCCCAAAACTTTTTCCTTCCGTTCTTCTCTTGACTGATGAGATCAGGCGGGCGCGTCGCCCTCTGAGGTTGGGCAGGCTCTCACGGGCCTCAAACAGCCGAGAATCAGGCGGGCAGCCTGGGTTCAATCTTCAGGGAGAGATCGTAGAGCGTGTCCTCATCCATGGTCAGAGTTTTGTCCAGAAGGTACTGAGTCACCTGCAGCCAAAATGTACACGAGGGATGACATAATGTAGGTTTCACATCATCAACCAAGGCCTGCAGCTAATATCAAAGTGATTAATTAATAAGATGTTTTGTGATTGGTCAGCTGGTGGCACCAAAGACTGAATCTTCTATTATTTGTTTTATCTAAGAAAATAATAAAACCTGTTTTGCCAAACCTTGAGAATCCAATTAATTTAAATTGTTTAAAAAAATACACTTCCACGAACATTTTGTATTTGTTTTTAAAACTACGAATTTGATTAGTTTTAATTGTTTCAATCCTCACCTCTGGTTACAGAAACATCAGTGTTACAAAAACAAAAAAAATCTTTAAACTAATAGGCAGTTGGTCATTTTTAGCACTGTTTTCATGAGAAATTAATAAAAGTACCTTGGCTTGGTGCTCTATTCTGTACGGTGTTTGCTGGAACTGCCGGATCTCTCGGATGATGTGGGAAATCTAAAGGAAGCGAAGTCGATGAATGCAGCACAAATCTGACGTGTGCAGAAGTTACTTTACATTCACGTGTCTGTAAAACCCACCATCCTCATTTTGGAGAAGTTAACGAGACCCTCCTCTGTAAAGTTTGGAGTTCCTTCTTCTATAAAGGCCAAGTCTGTTAGATACATTCCCAGGTATGGCACACATGGAGGGTTGCAGCTGAAGGAATAAAAAATAAATAAAATGACACATCTGAACTGTTTTCTTTGCTTGTGCGTGAGTAAAAAAATAACAACAATTCTCACTTTTTCAGCGTCTCCCTCAGATTTTTAAATCTTCCCTCAGAGGACACGGTCTTCTGCAGTTTGTCCATCAGGGCTTTAGTCTAAACAAAGACAACAAACCCATTTACACACATGTGAAATCATTATTGTAAACAACATGGAACAAACAGAATCTACCCTGACCTCTGACTCAGTGACTTTTGACAGCATGGATATAATTGATTGAAAATGTCAAGTTGCTCTGGTTTCTGCAGAATGTCTTGATACACAGACAGACTGTCTACTGATGGGATGATTATTGCTTTAATCAATTTAGTCTTTATTAAAATTATACAAAGAGCAAACATTGAACATAAAAACTAAATGTCTAACAGCTTTTTTTTATTTCTCTAATGACATCGATTCTACAGTAAAGACTTCAACATCAAACACACATCAGAGTCTAACTATTTTTTTGAACGAATGAATGAATGAATGAATGAATGAATGAATGAATGAATGAATGAATGAATGAATGAATGAATGAATGAATGAATGAATGAATGAATGAATGAATGCGCAGAAAGCACCAAAACAAAGAG